TCTAACGCCAGTGTTTTGTTGATTTACGCTAGGTTGGATGGTAAAGGACTCAGCTGCTAGCCTTACTTCGCATAACATTTCATTTTTTGTCTAAAGAGGCACTGTATAGAGGGAACGCTATCGCATCTGTTCATTTGCAACATTTGAGTTTGAATAATTCGTCTTGGCTTGCCGATTTATTGTTCCTCAGGATGCCGAATACACGCAAAACTGGCGTCAAATGTATTTTCTCGGATATATACCTGTTTTTCTCTACATGCACGCACAAAAAACCATTTAGGTCCTTCTACTATATTGCCGCGCGTATGTGCCAGGGGCGAGAACAAGGAAGCAGCGCGAACTTTTTCGTTCCGGACAAGGACAAAGAAGACGTGGTTGTCTTGTTACACAATGTAATAGAGCCTCTAAATAGTCAGTTACACGAATACTTGACTGATAATTCTATAAACAACATTATTGCAACTGATGCATCTGTAATAAACGAAAAGGCTGGAGTAGGCATATTCTGTAGTTTTCCCAACTGGTATTTTTCAGTTCGATTACCAGACTATACTCCTATATTCATGGCTGAATTATTTGCTGTAGTTCTAGCACTTCGCAAATTTTCTGCAAGCGAATGAGAAGCAGTCAAATGTACTGATTCTCTCGTGGTATGTAATGCACTTTCTGCAGCAAAAAATCTACATTATTAAGTATGATTAGTAGCTTACTACCAGCAAACTTGAGAAAATTTCCACTCGGTATGGGTACCTGGCCACTGTAGGATTTATCTAAATGAGATGGCAGACTTGTTAGTCAAAGAATTTTTAAGCGGACCACTCTTTTCTATTTTTTTATGATTTTGCTCATGTAACAGTATTCAGACATAGAATGCCTGTTTTCACAAGTAAATACACAAATTATCATTAAATAAATTCAGAGACGTCGTACATCTAAGATTTAGGTGAGATAAACCGTGGTGCGTATCTAGGCAGTTAGAAATTACAATCACGAGATTACGCTGCCGAATTCACCTCCTGAATTATTACTTACATAGAGCTGCACCCACAGCATCTTCATTAAGTTTATTTTGTAAGAAAATAGAAAGAAGAGATCATTTTTTATTATGTTTCCCGATTTTTATATATAAAAAAAGATACTTTGTCGACCCAACTGAAAAGCTAGATTTAGAAATAAATATGGCAGTATTTTGATCTTTTGAAGGAATTACGTTAGGTTTTAGCCACAGGGAGGTTTGCTTTGCTGTGTGCGCGTACAGAATGGGAAGAAAAGGATTGCCTTGTTGGTATATTGATACTAATATTTTTTTTGTCTCCTGACCGCTAGCTCGTGTAGGATTTTGATGAAACATTTATGATTTGTTTTGTGTTTTAATGAAACTCCATTGGACACTTTAAAATACATAATCAACTAACCCAAAGGTTCTGCCGCCCGGAATTCGGCCGATCTTCCTGCTGTGAGCGAGTGCCACTAAATGCAAGAGAAACATCATTATCATCATCATCTTTGTCAGTTCTCCGCTTAATCGTCGATCCCGCGTCGTCACACTGGTGGAGGTGTGGAGTAAGCTTCATGCTTTCACTCCTTCGCGGAGTCGACCATCGAGCCTGGAATAAACCCTACGCGTGGAAACACCGGTACACCGTTTCAGTCGTCGTCTACTAGGCCTGGTACCTGAGCTTAATCTCCTACCGGAAGGTTCCAGCAATCGTCCTCAATGACCATGACCACCGCAGCTCCATCGCACCACTTGACATTGCAGAATCCTGTGATTCTCGGCTGCTTCCATGGTGAAGCCTATGAAGATACGCAAAACTGGCTGGACCAGTTCGAACGATCTGCCAAGTACAACCAGTAGGCCGCCCCAAAAGAGAAGCTTTCGAGTGCCGACTTCTGTCTAAAGGACAACGTCCAGACGTGGTACATAAACCGAGAACGAAGATTGGCTATGTGGGAAGATTTCCGCACGCATCTGCTCAACACATTCACTAGTGTTGCCAGAAAGGAGAATGCGCAATGTCTCCTCGAAGCTTGCATACAAAAAGCAAACGAGATCATTGCTGTGTTCACTGAGGACATGACCTGTCTTTTCCACCTGGCAGATCTCGATATGCCAAAAGACAGGAAGTTACGGCATCTTATGGGAGGAGTGGAGGAGTGACAGTTTGCTGGGCTGGTGAGAAATCCACCGACAACAATGGTCGACTCTACAAAAGAGGTGACTGCTATTGTAAGAGCCCTACAGCAACAATACCGCCAGCATGAAAACATTGTTAAATCCGTCGGCGAACACCTCCGTTATGGCTACGGCATGCCTCTGCAAAAACGACAAGCCTATACGTGAAGTGATCCGACAGATTACGCGAGAGGAGCTTTGTCAGGTGGGTTTCATTTCACCACTAGAACTGAAACCGGCGTTGTCTTTTGTTGCTGATTTTGTCCGAGAAGATGTGCGTCAAGCTCTTTTTTCATTGGGCTATGGAGACGTGCAACGGCACCATACTTATGCTGATGCTGTCCGATGTCCCGTCGTCGCTCCTCTGACGACGACGTCTCCAGTGACTCGTAAACCACCTACCCTTCATACGCAGCCAATTCCATCACCGCCCACCTCATCGCCTCCACCTGTACCCGAACAACGCACCGTAGTTCAAGGGAGAACTCCTGCGTCAAAAAACTGATTTGTGGTGCACCGCTAACCACTGATTGGTGTGCTTTACAATGTGACGAAGCAGGGCACGTCTACCGAATCTGCCGCAATCTCGACGCCCAACATTCAAAATTTCCTCCTCAGCTGGATTACGCTATGTACGACAGTCGGCGAACATACAACGATGACACTTCGTATGACGATCGGTGTGCATACAACGAAGCTCTTCCGAATCGTTCACCGCAAGACCCAACCACACGTCGTTCACGGTCTCCATTTCCGGCGCTTTGTAGTTTACCGAATCGTTGCAGTTTTGCCGACGTCACTAGGAGCCGGTTCCCTGGCCCACGACGGGGAAACTAAACGCAGTGACCTTCGGGGGGTGGGGTTGCCAATCATCGAAATTACCCACAGCTCCCGTTACAGACTAACGACCAAGCGCAGACGCCGAAGTCGATGATTACAACGACGATCGTGACGACCGTGACGACCGCAGCGTCTGTACTGTTTGACTAGACAATTGTCCACTTTAATAGCAGATAAAGCAGAAGGAAACGGCAGCCGCGTCATTTTCAATATCTTAAACTAAGAAAAGAAAGAAAAGCCAGGAGCACATTGTAGTGATTATGAAAATTTGCTCATATTCTTTATTAACATCGCCCACCGACAAAACATGCCAAAAGTGGTTTTCTTCAGCAACCATTGCTCCGAACATGCAGACCATTTTGCCCTTGCTCCAGGTACAAGTCGCTTATGCCGGACCAGTCGTGACAGCACCCCCCCTCCCCCCCCCTCCCCCCCAAAAAAAACAACACGATAGGCTTTCAATTAGGCTGTTTCTTAAGTGGGATATATACAGTGTAGTGTCGGCGTACAAGAACTAAATATATGCGTAGCTTTGCATATTTACTGCTATTCTGACATGTGTTGCGCTTTCATTTGGTTCGTTTTTTTGTATACATTTATTTAGTCATTTCTCATTGGTGAGTACCACACGTTCGACATCAGTGATATAAATGAAATGTTTCAAGCTATTTTTGAAAGTACGAAGTTTCGATTGGTTCTGTTGCTCTGTATAGTGACACTCATATACGATGTCCTGCTTAGTGTTGATTTACATAGTACTTTTTCGTTTTCTGGACAAAATGAGCTAGGTATTGTGAAAGGTATGGTATGCACTATTCACATTGATATTCAAAGCTAGCAAAACGCACTTAAAATTATTTTGAAGGCACGCCATGCCTGTAGTTGAGTGACCTGCTTTTGGAATAACCTACCACGTAACCTGAAATGATTATTTAAATTTCGTCTATCTCGACGTCGTTCTGTCACGCTTCTAACACGTGTCTATAGAACGATGTGTTGCTGTCGGCCAATACTGTGCCCAAGCGTCTGTGTGAGCACTAAAACTTTGCGAAGTTGCTGCAAACTGCACAGTGGCGCTGCTCACAATGTGTCTGCATTGTTATTCATTTCTGAAATCAATAAAGCGTGATTGAAGTACGTGACATTCGAACGAAGTGTGTGCAAATGGGGTTGTTGCATCTGGTGCTGGAATCACGTTTTGGATTGACCCCTACATCAGGAACTGCGAGTCTGTAGCTTCACACCTATAACGATCACAACTGAAGACGTCACAACAGCTATGACGCACATCATGAAGATGAAAATAGGTGAAAATATGGGGAATTGTATTGCACTACAATTATTCGCTGTTGGTGTATAACCGTAGGAAATAGAGAATAAAATATTGATTTTAACAACAACTTTGGCGGCATATGATGCTGGCGAAACAGAAGCAATACACGTAAAAAAAACATTTCAAAGAAAAATGCCGTGTTACATTGGGCTGGTTCATTTCTTTAAAGCTTTGGGAAAAGAACACAACTGTAAATAAGTTTTGCACGAATACGAAGACTCAAAACAACAACAGCTTCGTAGGGCCTTCTTTTTTCATTTGATTTTTCAGCGATGGATTACCTTACTGTACAGTAGGAATACTGACTGCGTTGATACCCCCACTCTCGCATATTTTTTGAACGAGACCGAATATTGCGCACCTTGACACTTTGGAAGCATTGCCGCTATTTTGTGGCCAAACGCTGCAAACGTTGTGCTTAGGATGAAATTCTTTGTTGAGTACATTGGTACATAAGTCGCTCCGGTGTGACCAAGAATGAAAAAGGTATGTTCATTGTATTATGTACGAACATAATTATCAGCACTCGTACTGCATGAGCGGCCCAACTGCGCCGCGATGAAGCATGTCGCTGCCGATTGTGCGTTACTCTGTGGCTCATACACGGCATTTAGCGAATAACTCTTCGCTGTAAACAAAGCGGCCTAAGCAAGGAGTAACTCGAGGACACGATTGGAAGTGTGCAGTCCTGCGCTGTTCTCCCAGCATGCTCGGTGCACGACAAAAAATACTCTTTCCGGCGAACCACGGGATGAAGCGATCATACATTGCTCTCGTTTGAGTCGAAGGACTCGTCCCGTCTGAATTCGTGGCGGAGGATGTCTTTCTCGTCTTCATCTTCCTTGAATTCGGCTGGAATATTGTCCTGCAAAAAGGCGAAAGAAAGCGAGAGGTCCTTAAACTTTCCGTGCGGGTCGTACAAATCACGGATCTCGTGAGCTCCGGCCACTATATGACTCATCGCAAATCACCCCTCCTCTTCTTTCTCCTACATTCACGCGAACAAAGCGGTACTTGTATCTGTATCAAATTAAAGTGTACAAAATGCATTAAATTCAAGTTACAGCGCTAGATGATTCCTTTTTAAAGGAAAGTGTAAATATAGCTAATAAATTTTCATAAAACTGACGCAGTGTGCTCCAGACAATATATAATCAAATCATTCCAACAGACAATTAGGTCTAGCTGTCTGCTGTAATCGCTCGGTTGTGTTTAATTCAAATGAAATGCGCCACTCATAGATATTTGTTTCATTAGTTCTGACATTTTTTAAAATTTCGCGTGGTTTCGAGATATTGTTTCGAAGACTCCTGTGTACTGTTATTTTTAAACAAAAAGTACAGTATATCCCCGTACAAACAAGGACAGCTCGGCTTATTATTATTTGTCAGCATCGTGAAGCTCAGCTTATTAATATTTGTCAGCAATCATATGGTGGCCCCAGGACCCCGATACCATTAGAGGAGACGCCCTAATTGGGGGCTCTGGATATTTCGACTACTTGGGCTTGTTTAACGCACGTCTAAAATTAGGCACACTGGTATTTTTCCATTTATTTCCATCAAAATGAGGCAGCCGTGGAGCCCTTGTAGAGTCTCTTCTTTTTAGGGCTCTAGTCTTCTTCCAGTCACATCGCTTGACTTACAAACTCGCTTAGCAGCTCGTCCTTCTATCACGTTAGTAAGCGTAAGAGTTGTGCATGTCTTAACAAAATTGACTTCCTTTTTTTATTTAACAAGGTTGCCCATATATTAGCGCAGTTACTAGATGAACGTTACAAAGTATTTGTTTGCATTGATTCCTGCGTATGACCCAGATTGTTGATGACTGATATGTGGGTTTTAACGCCCCAAAACTGGGACATGATTATTACAGATGTCGTACTGGAGGGCTCCGGAAATTTCGACCATCCTGGGTTTTTTAACGTGCGCCGAAATCTGAACAAACGAGCCTACAACGTTTTGCTTTTATCGGAAATGCAGCCGCCGCAGCCCGGATTCAATCCTGCGACCTGTTTGTTAGCAGTCGAATACCTTAGCCACTAGACCACCGCAGTGGGGTTACCCAGAATTTTACTAACTGCATGCATCAGGTCATTTTTGTTTTTCTCGTTTATTTCAGCGAGTGTGGCACATTTATTAGTGAGCGAGCTTCTTGTCAAGGTATTTTTTCGAGAGAAAACAAAATCAAACATTTTAAGCATGGTGAAATGCTTCGTGCGCCACTTCCGTGGAGCAACCAAAAGATGTAGCACTTACCTCCGCTTTTGGTAGCAGTCTTAATTTCCTCCATAACCGCAACGCAACTTTGCTTGTGAGTGAAAAGTTCTCGGCACACGTCCTCTTCTCTCCTTCAGTAGAATCAAGGTGGCAGAAAATTATTATAATGACATTTATTGATTGATATGTGGGGTTTAATGTCCCAAAACCACCATATGATTATGAGAGACACCGTAGTGGAGGGCTCAGGAAATTTCGACCACCTGGGGTTCTTTAACGTGCACCCAAATCTGAGCACATGGGTCTACAACATTTCCGCCTCCATCGGAAATGCAGCCGCTGCAGCCGGGAATCGAACCCGTGACCTGCGGGTCAGCAGCCGAGTACCTTAGCCACTAGACCACCGCGGCGGGGCTATAATGACATTTATCTTAAGAGCAATTACAGAATTCGAGTTTGTGGCGTCAGCTCTAGCGCTGAATTGGTACAAACCGCAGAGATAACTCGAGGAACATGAATTAATTGAATAAAAAAAATGTTTGAAAGTAGCCGCGTCAGTGAAGGCTGAAAATGCCGGGGACGTTCATAGGAGAAAACAAATGAATTCGCCAACAGTTATTACCAAGGCCACAGGTCCTGAGCTTGCGTTCTCATTCGGGTGCTGAATATTTACTTCTACTCCGATTAACAGGTATCCTAAATTGCACACTCTTGAATATCATATAATGAATGCAAAACAATGCTACACCCATAACGTGAACTAAGTGTCTCGAGCGGACATGCGCATGTTCTTCCTTTCGCGCATGATTTTTCACCTATCTTTATATCAAGGAATCTTGCCGCTCACTTGAGAAATCAATGAAGGGGGTTCCAATACATGTCTGATAATGAACAGTGTGCTTTCAACTACAGGCCCTTTTAACTAACAAGCATTCTGTCTAATCTCGTGGAACATGTGTTGTACTCGCATATATCTGAATGTTAAGGATTCAAATATGTTTTTCAGTAGGTCAACATAGGTTAAGGCATACGTTATTTTGTGAACCAGTTACTTCTATTCACTTCACTTGAACGCTGTTCTTGATACACTGCATTTTTTGGTGATGCGAAGGCCTTTCGGTAGGTTAATCACGTCTTATTTATGGTTATACTCGCCTCACTCAAACTCGATATTATCCAACTTGATTGGCTCCAATATTGTCGAATAAACCACTGTCACTACACCAAAATAATGTTCATAACTCGCCTCAAGTTACCGTATTTACAGAAATACTACAGAGGTAAGGTTTAAATTAAGTTTGGTTTCTAATATATATCAATGGTTTGCATACCTTCGGCTCTTATATGCGCCTGTATGCCGATGACTGTACTTTAGAGAAAAATATGGAACGATGACAAATAAACCACTTGAAAGACGCACCTAAATAATGTTTAATGCTGGTTTGATAATGGGCTTATGAATTCTAGTCTTGAAAAATGTAAACTAATGAAGATTTCTCACACTTACGAAAGCTCTTCAACGTCCAAACAGGCTTACCTCGAACTCGAGCATTGTCGCCATATCGGTACTTCGGCGTTACTACTTCCACCAATTTAACATAAAGTACTCGTATTAGCATGATCTGTAAAAGTGCTAACAAAAATGTTGTAGGCCCTTGTACCCAAATTTGGGTGCACGTTAAAGAACCCCAGGTGGTCAAAATTTCCGGAGTCCTCCACTACGGCGTCTCTCATAATCAAATGGTGGTTTTGGGACGTTAAATCCCAGAAATCAAAACAGTTCTAACAACACTGTCGGGTGTTTAATTCGTAAGTTTTATTAAAGCCACACTCTCACATCGAATATTTCCGTAAAAAACTCTTGCTGGTTGTTAATAACATTAATACTGCCGCCTTGTTCGTTCCGAGTACGCCGCTGCAACCCGCAATGCTCATCTAGCAGTTGCAGTTAGATCTAAAACAGTTCAAATTACCACCACGTGCTTCATTTTCTTAATGAATATCATGCATCAGCTATAACATAAAACACATTCAAGGAAAGACGCTCTGCCATAACTATTGATATTATTGCTTCGTAAGTATTGCCGCCTTAGAATCACTTATTAAGCGATCAGCTGGACTAATGGCAACACTGTACATACCGTTCTTCATCTTTTCTGCATTTGCGTTTTTTTCTTCTTTTTCAATTATGTGCTGGAAAGGCATCAATATTCCGCCTCGGTCTTTTTGGTAAGGTCTTTCACAATTCATTACTACGTACCGAACGTACCACACCACCCACTCATTAATCTCGAATTGATCATAAACACAAGATTAAACACTTTTCTCCAACACTAACGCTTTCTTTTATTCAACTATATCGCACAGATGTAACCACTGAAACCACCTATATCCAGCGAAATTAGTTTCATTTTCGCATTTTTTCATTCTTTTCTAGGTGCTCGCACCGGGAGTCCATCAAGGCATTGTTGAATTATTTACTCGGCCGTGAACAATTAGGTTGACTGTACTATTAGTGCGCTTTAGCTTCTTGTTTTTTATATCCGCTAGTCTTTCCATCTTTTATTACCATTTTTCAAGTATAGGGTAGCAAACCAGGTGTTTCAGTGCCCGCCAAACTCGCTGTAGTTCCCGCATTTGTGACCTCTCTCTCAATTTCTCTTTCTCAATCTGCCCACCTTGATTATTGGTGGGCTGACAGCGCGTCATCATTACGCATTTCCGGCTTTTGTCATCGCTGTCATGTTCTGTATATAGTACCCGACTGTATGAAGTACCCCCTGAAGAGCTCAGCTATGTATCAGGATCTCCTCTAGCATGATGGCCGATAAAGATCTATGATGGTCTCTGTGACCACTGTTCCTCGACACCGCTGGGGAAATGACTGGACAGCTGGCATTTCTGTTGCAGGCAAATCTGCGGCCTCTAGCCAACAGCTTCAACAAACCGACCAAGTAGTTAAAAGCACGCTTCAAGCCCTGTTCTCGGCTTGGGGAAACTTGAAGTCACTTGGTAGGATGCCTACCCTGTTGAAAATTTGCGAAATGGGAACTCCAGGTTGAAACATAGGGTCACATGTCGTTTCTTTTTTGAGAGAGACCCTTCGGCACACTAATGATTGCGAAGTAATTTGTCTTTCTTACAACATAATAATGAGAGTATATTTCGTAACAGCTGAAAAAAAAATATTTTTATAGCTGGCATGGCTTAGCTCTATTGTTTTTACTAGTACATAATAAGACTAGTACCAGAGTCACTCAATTCTTTTGAGGACTATGCCAGTACTAATATGTTCCATTTTTTTGGTAATGCTCAGTGCAATGACGTCTTACAGAGGAAAAAATAAAAAGCGCCATTCCACTGCTTCCAGTAGGCGGGTAAGTTTTTATATCCTACTAACCTGTTAATAAGCTGACTGCAACACCGAGAGTGATAGTAAGAAAGGTGGTAAATATTAAGCTCCAGTAGGCTGAAATTTGGTAGAAGCCAAGTAGACTGTTTTCTTGGTGATCCAAAACCCTGAAACAATAAACAAACGACCTCTTAATTAGAGTTTGTAATTATTTGTACTCATGCAATAACATCATATTCATATAGAAGGAAGGAAAATAGGAGGAAAAGAATGGCAGGGAGGTTAACCAGTCGATAGGCAGCTGGTTTGCTACCCTGCGCACGGGAGGGGGATGGGGGAGATGAAAGATAGAAGGGAGAGAAAGAGAGATAAACACAGCACATTAAGGAGCACACGTTCGCACACTCTATTATACTCTATGCAAGAATAACGTAGTTTGTTTCTTTATTTTTTTTATTTAGCAATACTGCTAGCCCCAACTTGGGGCCATAGCAGAGTGGGTGTACATAGTACAACAAAATCAACAGTACAATACTGCAGTCAACACAGAACAAAGCACTTCAAACAACATAAAAAATGTTTCACGAAGAAAAAAAAACACTAGTCAGATATAAATTTTTCAAATGCCTCGATACTGTCTGTTTCAATAATTTTGCTGTCAAGCTCATTCCATTCTTTGGCAGTGCGCGGAAAAAAGGAATACTTGAAAGTATTATTATTGGGCTGGAAAGGAACGACAGTGTGTTTATGACGTTGTCTGGTAGAGTAACCGGAAGAGAACTTTAAGTATTCACCTGTGTTACTATTTATTCGACCATTAACTATCTTAAAGAAGAACAACAAACGAGAAATTCTATTTCTTTCTGAAGTCCGTTTGAATCCCGCTTTGGCAACTAATTCAGAGACTGATGTTGGGCCGTATTTCTTGAAAATAAATCGGACAGCCTTGTTTTGGATTCTATCTAGTTTATGGATATTGACATTGGTGTAAGGATCCCAGATAATGTTTCCATAATCCAAAATGGGTTGGATAAGAGATTTGTACGCCAGAATTTTAGTGTCGTATGATGAATAGCGAAGAGAACGTCTCAAAAAATGTAATTTCATCATTGCATTATTAGATATGTAGTCGATATGTCGATCCCAGTGGAGGTTGCTACATATATGCAAGCCTAGATACTCGTACTCTGTTACTCGATTTAGGATGTTTCCATCAGCTGTATAATTGTAAACAAGGGGACACTTCTTATTTGTTATCGACATGGCCACACTTTTTTGATAGTTTACACACATTTGCCAAGAATTACACCACTTCATGAGTTTCTCAATTTCTGTGTTAAGCTTAACTTGGTCTTCAACTGTGTGAATAAGTGAATACAACGCACAATCATCTGCATATAATCGTATTTTAACCCTGCAATTATCAACAATATCATTTATGAACACCAAAAACAACAACGGGCCAAGCACGGAGCCCTGGGGAACCTCTGAGCCAACAGGTAACATGTTTGATGGAGTGTCTTTAAAAACAACGTATTGCTGCCGGGATGTTAGATACGATTTAATCCAGCTACACAGTTTCCTGTTTTTTAATAATGTGTTCAGTTTAATGAGCAATTTAGAATGGGAAATCTTGTCAAATGCTTTAGCAAAATCTAAAAAAATTACGTCTATCTGTTTTCTCTCATTAATAGCTGCGGCGAAGTCATGTGTCATTTCAACCAGTTGAGTTACAGTAGAAAAGCCGTGATGGAACCCATGTTGCATTGCGGTTTATAATATTGCGGTTTATAATAAAGGCCTGGATATAAGCATACTGAAGCATGGGTAGACGAATATAAGTACATTGTTGGTTGTGGTAGGCCTAAGTGTGCAGCGTCAAAAAACTTCTGCAGTTTGAAAATTGTCTACATGAAGAGGAGGTTCCTACCTAATAGTTAGTTACGCTGATTACTGCAGTAGTATTTGTGTATATTTCTCTTAGATGATGTTTGGGAAAGAACATGTCAATCCTGGAATCCATGTGGTTCGTTTATTAAGAGCGTTGAGTGCTTAGTAGAGCAGCTGCACCACGATTCATTCATTCATTCATTCATTCATTCATTCATTCATTCATTAATTAATTCATTCATTCATTCCTGAAAGTTCTCATGAACCTAGGCCTTGATAACTGTGCACTTTTGTTACTGAAAGAGCAGAAAATCAAAACAAAAGCCTAAATGGCATTTTAAATTTACTAAGGCACCAAATAGGTCAAAGATGACCGTTGAGTCCTGGCATATTTTTTAATCAGTAGGTATGGAACATGTAACATGTAGTCAGCACAAAGTAGACAATGAAATAATTAGCTCTTCTCACCTTTCTACCGACGATACTTCATCATCAATAAAGGTAGAATTGTAGGTGACGGGAAAAGTGGTGTTGACTGGACAATAGTCGACAGTGACACCCATCCTGGGGGAGTGAATGTCGAGGGCGATCTTTCCAAACATCAGCCACAGCTGCAGAGAGCCAGCCACCAAAGTGCCAATAGCAGCGCCCTGCAAAGTCCACATTTGCGCACACAAGTGAGTATCGTGGTCGGTGAGTGTGGCGCGTCTACCGTAGAAGCCTGGGAATAACTCGTAAGAGCCTCAAATAGAACTTACTAGAGGTGTCAAGTCACAACAAATCTTACTCAACTTATCAACATTTCTGTGTCCATAGAGACAATATAGTGATTGTAAGACTAATGTCGAGATCTAACTTAGATACCTGCATATATAGAAGCTTTCTAATAAAAAAGAAAAATAAGTCTAGTAAAAACGAGTTCAATTTGGTTTAGCTTTATTTTTATGAACTTCATTGCAATGCATTTAATTTTAAGACTCAAGAGAACAGTCCGCGCACATGCTGGAAACCATGACGCACGCAACAACCTATACAGTAACCATTCGATATAGGCGCTGTGACTAGAACACTCTTACGTTAATAGGTGTCACGAAAACAGAAAAAAAACTTTCAATTTATGCTTTTTGTTTTATTGACACAATTTCATGCCATTTATTGAACATGGAACATTTGCGTTTCAACCATCGACAATGCCCTGACACCCTTCGCTTAAGTAGCTGATACCTTTCTGGACATCTTTCGCCTGCTTATTAACATGCTTTTTTATTTCTGTTCCCACTAAGCAACAAGACCAAGAACAGCAACATAGTAAGCATACGGAAAATGTGTACCTTTGCATTGGCCCACGGAAAAACGAGACCCAAAATGAAGAGTCCAACGAATGGTGCAGTTCCACCACTGTGCAGCACCAAAATAAGCTTGAAGGAAAAAAAAGTAGATGAAAGGTGTCATTATAACTTATTACGGCACTAGAGGCTGTGAGTGTCGTACTGTTAATAATAGCTTTCTATATGATTTTTTAATGGTTTAACGTTAAGACATTATCCGATAAGTGTATAAGACATTTGAAAACGGTCGCGCTAAAGTGTGTCTATCATACTCAATGATAATTCAGGATCTAAAGCATGTTTTTTAAGCTGCTGGTATTTATTTCATCATATTCTTTGTGCGTCAGGTGACCACACTTTAAAATGTTGGGTCATTCAACCGTCCAAACCGTAGTCCACGCACAAGTGGCGAAGGTTCGGAGTAAAGACGTCTGATTAGTTGCGCATTCGTCCGATAACTTAATAAACTGCCACCCAGCCTCCGCTTTGCCAGATGTTGTGGTAGATTACGTTTTATGCTTGTTTATATATAGCTCACATCAGAACGGACGCTGTTTGGAGTGTTCGTTGTACGTGCATAAAAATACGAACAGGCTTTAGCACAACTTCAACAAAAAAAGAAAAAAAAAAGGAATAAACAGGCTTGCAAGTTCTACGTATGGGGGCACAACGTCTGTGTAGCAATGAACACTAGGCGTCCTTAAAAATACAGAATTCGCAAGCATTCATCTGTGAATTCACTAAGCCATAACTTGAAAAGTGTTCAGTAGCCAGTCAAGTGACGCATCGAAGCAACAAAAACATATATGATGCGATATACAAGGTGTTTCAAGAAATATGTCCAATATTAACGGGATAGCGTTAGAGATCTCGTGTCGCAGAAACTCCGCCGTTGGCGTCAGCACCGTTGGTTATGAGCGAAAAATCATCCGTGAGGAAAAGTCGAGAAAGAAGCAAATTAAGTAAATAATAGAATTCTCGGTCCTATTGAAGGTCAAACCAGGGCTGCTCGCGTGGCAAGCAGGTGTCCTACCACAAAGCTACGATGTTACTTGCATCTGATTTGGGAGAAAACATTACATAAATGCCATGTAGTGGAATGAGTCTCCTTAACGCATTTTGTTCGACAGGTGTCACGACGAAAACGAGCCCATTCGGCGATTTGTAGGCGCATTTGGGAGGCCATCAAACTACATCGAAAATGGCCGGGATAGTGCAGCCATCGCCGCTAAGAACACACAGGAACTTTCAAACGGCTCTAAAGATGGACAACTAAGCCCATCTAGCGAAAAACATATTATGCCTTGACGGAGGCGTTGATCAATCAAACATCAAACGCTAGCTAATGCACTGCCATCTGTGGGGAATTGTGAGACTCTTTATGGCCTCCCAGATGGTGAGCACGCGGTGTGTATGTTGGAGGCCATGCGACTCTTGCTTCAGATAAAAAAACCTGTAGGTACCATTCGCGCGCGTGTGTGCGTCTGTGTCTGTGTGCCATCTGTGAGACATTGTGGAAAACGTGTCTCGACTACAGCAGAGCGCTGTTCTAGGAGAAGTAAGTGGACACACTGCACAGTCACTGCATTACTATAGATAAGTGGCGCTTGCGCGCGCGCGTGTTAGTGTGCGTGTGCGTGTGGCGCGCGCGCGCGCGTGTGTGTGTGTGTGTGTGTGTGTGTGTGTGTGTGTGTGTGTGTGTGTGTGTAAGAAAACATACTAATAAGTATGCACTTAGTAGTTGAACGGCGCAGAGCCGGATTTCGCTATCGCGTTCAACTCTTCAAGGCGAAGTTTAAGGGTCCCCCAATGTTTCTTCAAAAATTAACAAAAGTCGCTATTTTTTCTTGCTCTTCACGGTTACTTTGTCTGCAGTGACAGGCATCCTACGATGGTTGAAGACATGACTTATAACAGTAATTACAAAACAATTTAATCAACTTTTTAATTTGGGAGTTTAGGCAGTTAAGTCAATTAAGAAAAGTGAAGACATTCATGTGAAGAGCCAGTTGCCTGTTTGAGATCCATCGTGAACTTACTTACAGCGCAACACCAGAAAAAAATATAGGACAGGGAAGGAGCGAAAGAGAAAGAAAAGACGGCGCTCCTTCCCTGTCCTGTATTTTTTCTGGTGTTGCGCTGTAAGTAAGTTCACGATGGATCCTAACCAACTGGCCCAACTAAACGTCTTACTACAATATATTTCTAGTACCCAGGGCTCTTTTCTATGTGCCTGTTTGAGATTTTGGGAAAAGGGCTTCCAGTAATTACAGTGACATATTGAACTTCTCCTAAATTCTGCGGTGAAACCGAAAGCAAAGTACCGATAAGCGCAACAAGCAGACGACCACAATGACGTCACTGTTTAAAACAGTATTTACAGGGCTACAATTCTTTCTCTTTTGTTAACGATGTGCGTCAAGCGTGCTATAATGGCAAACGCAGCACACACACGCACACTACGAAGTCGTTTGATTGTTGATATTACAGCGCTTCCTCATTTCGGACTTCTCACACAAATAGGGCAGTTGCGGTCTTTCGCGTTTCGGTTTCAGTTTCACGGCAGAATTTAGAAGAAACTTATTAATTCGCAGTTATCACTAGATGCCACTTTTACGAAATCTCAAAGCGACAATGGGTTCTTCGCATGAAGAACTTCAATTTTCTTATTGGACCTAACTGCCTCGCTCCACTAACAAAAACATTAATTAGTATAACTCTGCAATTACTGTTGCCAATGATGTTTTAAACCCTCTTAAAATGCCTGCCGTTACAGCAAAAGCAACACTGAAGACAGCAAGTAAATAGCGCCTTGTGCTGATTTTAAAGACTATTGGACGCATGTCATGAAACAACCTGTATATGCGAAGTTCACCATCATCGGTCACCACTATACACTGGCGTTTTCTTGCCATCTAGTTAAATGATCTAGCCGGGCGTATGTGAGATGTTGACGTGTATCAACAGGTGGATATACAACGCTTCAAATAAAAAAAGAAAGCACGCTAGTTTTAAACTTGCTTACCCGAACTGCTGAACCTAGGTGGGGCACTGCTACCGCACAAGCAGTGAGAACGCATCCGAAGAACAGGGCTGGAGAGAAAGAGAGATAGACGGAGTGAACACAGATCGGTACGCTGTACGCTGCCACACGAGCAAGCCACGCATGCTTGACTACCTGTTACTTGAAAGGTAATAGCGACGGAGCATTACCAACTGGTCAGACGTGAGAACAGGACACTACTGCACGCTAGAGTGTGCACAAGGACGTTCACTTATTAAGACGAAAGCTTTAGATGCTTAATCAAACGCTAAAATTGCTGGACGACCGGCGGGCGGCATGGGGAATGCAAAAAGTCATCATCGCGTGATGATGTTGCGATATGACGTATTCATCACGTCACCGATGACGAATTTTGTGACGTATATAAGGACGTCATGTTGACGTCAAGCTACGTATTCCCATGATGACATGGTCGCATTACATCGTAGCTTTCTAAACGAAAGGCCGATCGAAGAGGCAGTGGAAAACCACATTAGATGCAGAAAGCTTTGCAAGGTGGTGGCGCATGAACAATACATCTGTTCAGAAAAAAAAAAAAAGGCTTTCACCTTCTATTCGTCTTAGGTGTGTGTGCAAAAGGGACCTTAGAAATTATTTCGAAGAAAACTTATTTGTAGGTTAAAGTAATGTCTACTGCCCGCTGCTACTGAAAGAAGTCACGCAATCGATCATGACTGGCGACCAGCGAACGACTGATGGTAACCGACGCTCACAGAGACAAGTTCAACCTGCCCCTCACCACAACTCAGGTCTCGCAGCTGATGCCACTCGTGCCTGCGCGCATTACCAAACAGTAAAGCTGAGCCATGCTCCCGAATTGGGTCACAGAAAGAGCGTATTATTCATAATTCAACTTCATCACCACCTCAGTACCGCAGTCATATAACGTGAGCGTCAGCGTGCATACTGTACGGCCCTTGCCCTCCACATCCTGCTGATATGTTCAGTGTATGTTCAAAAACGATGTTTCACGAGAAACAACTGGACCAGGGAACCAACGAACTAATGTAGTCTCTCTTCGACCAGATCTACACTGTTAGAGACGGATTTGTGACTACGTTTGACCAACGACTTCAAGGACACCCTGGTCGTACGACCATTACAAGTCATCGGTATGAGTTAGCATGTAGTTATAATTTATCCCCTAAATTTGCACCCGCTATAGTTTCCTGAGCTTTATAACATAAATGCTTGAGCTTTAGAGCATAAAAAAGTGAATATATATGAGGTGTGGTATTTCTTAATAAATATTTACTTTTAGCGCCATGCATGCATTAGGGAAAAAAAGTGTATTGCTATAACTTTCAACGCGTGGTAGTTTACTTAGTATGTTTATAGTTATTGTGCTTATCACTTACGTTATGTCGGCCTAAGTTTACTTTTGCGTGTACTTGATGGTGTCTGTCACTGAATGTACCATTGGGAAATATTGGATATCAGATATATAAGGGAGTGCCGTGTGATAGTAGAGGGTTCAAGTTTTCTTAACGTTCGTGATTCCAGCAGCTATGATGCTTGCTGCTTGCGACAGTACGCATGACACTCTTCTTTCAGAAGACAGTTTCAGTCAGTACTTGTTGACAACACTGTTCACGTCACCACCGGCTTAAAAAGAACACAAAAATACCACGCGCTATGAACGTGTTAATTTGACCTGGTTCGTAAAGGCTGCAGTTACTTACCGCTCTTCTTTGTAAAGGCTGCTGCTTGCTGTGACGAGAACTTTCTGTACTGTGAAATAACGTCTACGTAAAATACGGCAGCTTGGGAATTGATGATGGATGACACAGTGCTGCAGGAAAGAAAGAACACATAATGAACAAAGTCAGGCCTACGCTGCTTACTTCAGCTCTACGATTGTTACAGGTTTGCAAAGTTAATATTCTATTCCTTACTGAATGATGCCTTAAAGATTGTTTTTATATAAAAAGGTGAGCGTGATTGATGAAGCATGTGTGTGTTCGGCCCAAAGGAACGTACGCGTTTCTTGCGTGCACCTGTGTAATTTAGTCAGTAGTCATGAGGATTACCACACTTAATGGTCATTTAATTTATTTATTTATTTATTTCCAATACTGTACTGCTGCCTCATCTGAGAGGTAGCCGAGGGGCAATCCAAAAAGTGGCAATATATAAAACATCAAACATTTCAGGACCAATGAAATATCTAATAAATGTAAAAAAGAGGTTACAATAAATATAGGCAAGAACAAATAGCGATTTACCAAAATATATACAATGATAGCATTATCCTACAACTATTGAGACCAGGCCGTAGTTATATCCTCTCTGTGTCGAGGATTAGTGGCTTGTAGCCTTCCATTTTATTAACAAATTCCGAGAATGATTTGGGTTTGGTGATCGATGGATGTACTTGATTCCATTCCCTAATGGCAAGTGGAAAAAAAGAATGCTTGAAGGTTTCATTACTATATGGAATATTCTGTTAGTATATTGGGATGCTGTTTGGCGTGTAGGTGGAGTTTCGGGAACCAAACCACGTTGGCATATTCTAAAATCGGTCTTATAAATGTCTTATAGGCAAGCAGCTTTATTAACAACTGCTCAGCAACAAATCAGTCCACATGTGGTAGAATTAACTGTATAGCTAAGATTCAAGAGTATCGCCTAATTTAAGATACTTGTTGTGTACCGGTGCTGGAGGAACTAGATAAATACACAGCGAGAGTTAGCAACATAGCTTTGTGGAGGAGTTGGTTCATTAGTATTCAGAAGATAAAACCAGCGAAAAAGCACACGGTCAGACAGCGAAGAACAACCCCACAGTGGTTGTCCTGTGTGGTTGATATTCTTCGTGTTTCATTGGTTTCATCTTCCGATTACCGATAGAGACGGGGATATCGCGTATGTAGTGGTAGTTTTACATTCAGTGAAGTGCCGTTCATTAAAGCGAAATGTAGAGTGCCTCTTGATGAACTCTGATTTCAACTAGCCAAAAAGCTCTAATAACCGGCCTCACTTGATTGTGGCCGAATTGGCCAATTATCTTTTTTCCCATTTCGTAGTGAAAACTGTTAACGCTAAAGAATACCAGTCTAATTCACGAATAGAAGCTCCAATACGACACTTACCCTACCTCGTTTTGTGAAATGGCTTGAAGTACGCAAACACAGTGTGAGAATTTACAGCTTGCGCGGTGAAAGTGCCTACATTTATTTGAAGGCATTGAAATATTCTGCGCAAAAGTTAGGTGTATATTTAAGAACTTTGTGCTATAAACCTGTTTCCTTCTCTTTTTTTCTGGCGTATTATTACCAACCGTGTGAGAAACAATAATATCGTGTTGAATGCTTAGTTAACACTGTGTTTAAGTAAACATGTCCTTTGTTTTACCCTTTCAATTGTGAGAAATAAAAAAAACTATTGATGTCATAAATGGACAATCCTCTTCGAAAAGCAACCAATAAGTATTATCTGTTTAAATCATGATTGATTGATTTGTGGGGTTTAACGTCCCAAAACCACCATTTGATTATGAGAGACGCCGTAGTGGAGGGCTCCGGAAATTTTGACCACCTGGGGTTCTTTAACGTGCACCCAAATCTGAGTACACGGGCCTACAACATTTCCGCCTCCATCGGATATGCAGCCGCCGCAGCCGGGAATCGAACCCGCGACCTGCGGGTCAGCAGCCGAGTACCTTAGCCGCTAGATCACCGCGGCGGGGCTGTTTAAATTATGCCTTGTTCATTTATACCATAGAAGTTTCATATCCACCAATAATATTTTTATAACAGGATGAACCACAGCCTCCAACCAATCGTGTTGGACTGAGTTTCCAACTGCGGAGCAGTTCTTGTTGGTGGCTTGGAACGGGTTGGTGGTACTAGTCACGACTTACAGCACTCCCCACTGAAGCCACTACGCTCGCTTCTCCCACTTCATTTATTCAGCTAAGATAATTGGGGAAGAGAATGCTTCTTTGTATGCCAACAAGTTAACTGCTTCATCGTTGTCAGCTACGCATAGCTGTTTCTAAGTCAAGTCAGCACATACTTATGGTTGATATTATTCAGTAGCCTTAGTCGTTGATTTATTCTCCTAACGTTAAACAGACGGGCGTGTACATGTAGATTTAAAGTTTATTCAACAAAGATGTCAGTTTACAGAAAAGTGCGTACAGGATTTGTAATACACTCAAGGAGCCCCAAAGTTATAAACTAGAGACACAGAGAGAGAAAGATTCAGCATTTAGAAGTGCCAAAATATCGCAATATTCGTTACTTCAACAATAATATTTTCAGGTTTGCGTCCAAAAACCACGGCGCGATTATGAGGAATACCTGTTACGTTTGGCCCGGCAGTTCATCTCAGTAGACGCCATTGTGCGTGAGCTGGTGTGCTAGAATGCTTTCAATCCCATCGGCACCCCAGAAGCAAAAAGCACGACGCTGTCCTGCAGGAGGGCCAGGTAGTTTGCTGTGGCCGGGTTACGAGGAACTCGACGGAACCATCGCGAAGAACACTTTCGTTCAACGAAGTCGAACATCGTGAGATGGCGTCACTGTTGCAGTTCTCATGAAGCCAATCTCTCCAGACAGCCATTGTCAACTAAGCGAGGTCATGACAAAGAACCAACAGTACAGAAGTGTGGAAAGGCGTCGCAGTCGCAGTTGTCAGGGAGCGAGCACCTGGCCTGCCGACTCCGAGAAACTTCTGGGAACACTGCAGCAGAACGCAGACATGCACCACTGCTGACGTTCGCATCAGCGGCCATCTTCCCCCCAGAGGAGCTCGACTTTCCCTCTCCACCGGACTCTACCTCCTCGCCTTGCGATGTCTTGAAGGCATGGGCCGGGTGAGCCATTGTGTAGTGCGTTCGTGCTAACCATTGGACATTTTCACCCACGTTCTTCTCACCAGTGGCCCCATTTCTGCACTCTTTCTGGTGGGTGGACCACTGCGACTTCACGTCAGATGATTCGCAACAGTGGTCACCGCCTTCTTCGGACCTCCTTATAGGGAGACAACGGGCTATAAAAGCCGAAGACTTTTTGCACGTTAGCGGAATCTGACCTGAATCTGAGCTGAATCTCCGCTGAAACTCTGTACAGTTTCATCTTTCTCGTCATGTAAATAAACCTTCGTTCTATCTCCAAGAGCGCGTCTCCTCACTGGCGAGCATCGGCTTTGCGGACAACGGCGGGAAGCCAGCTACCGTAAAGATGCCCGCCATAGCTGTCATCAACCTCGAGCCCTTACATGCCATAGTTGAGTGCTCCTGAAATTTCAACCCCTGGTGTTCTTCAAAAACTCAAAAACGAATAGTGTTCTACTTTTCAGTGACTCTTAACACGCAGTCACTCTTTTTTGTGTCCTTGATTGGATGGAGAACATTAACTTCAGAATTCAAAACATACTATACAAGTCTGTGTTCGTGTTTATCGTTTGACAGTGTCACCAGATGTCGTTGCTATATTTGCGTGCATGCGTTCACGTATCTGATGTTCCGCACTGCCGTGAATATCGAACAGCAATAACACACTGTATGCAGAAAACTTAAAACTCTCCAATGCCAGATGTCAGTGATGTGGTCTTGGAAGGGTGTATAGAAAAATACAGCAAGAGGCAAGAGCGAAGGGAATTTAACCAATCGACACTTCACCGTGCCAAACTCTTCAACGCATTCATATTAATTGATGGATATGTGGAGTTTAACGTTCCAAAACCATTCATGTAATTATGAGAGACGCCGTAGTGAAGGGCTCCGGAAATTTCAACCACCTGGGGTTCTTCAACGTGCACCCAAATCTGGGCACATGGGCCTACAACATTTCCACCTCCCTTGGAAATGCAGCCGCTGCAGCCGGAATTTGATCCCGCAACCTGCGGGTCAGCAGCCGAGTACCCTAGCCACTAGACGACCGCGGCGGGGCAACGCTTTCGTTCAACGGAGTCGAACAGCGTGAGACGGCGTCACTGTTGCAGTTCTCATGAAGTCAACCTCTCAAGACAGCCATTGTCACCTACGCGAGGTCGTGACAAAGAACCAACTGTTCGAAAACGTAAGAAGGCGTCGCAGTCGCAGTTCTCAGGGAGCGAGCAGCTGGCCTGCCGACATCTGCAAACTCCTGGAAACACTGTAGCAGAACACAGTCATGGACCGCTGCTGATGTTCTTGTCAGCAGCCATATTTTCGCCGGAAGAGCTCGACTTTCCCTCTCCACCGGACTCTACGTAATGAAGATATATGTGCGCATTCAAGGACCCGAAACAGTCGCAATTAATCCTGATACCGCATACTACAGCGTGCCTAAAAATGATATCTTGTTTGACACACGATAGCCTAGCAATTATCAATGTTGAACATTATTTTAAGTCGACACCGACAAGCGCAAAACTGAAACTGTGTGTTATGTGAACTAGATGACGATTAAAAATCGAAGACATTTAGTACTTAGCAAGGCGTGAATTGCGATGTTACTATAGCCACGGCCGCCACTGAAAAAGAACCTCACTGCATCGGTTGACAATAAAAAGCTAAGCTTCGAGTAGTCCGCTGCTTTTTTCGTGACAAGGGCCCTCTATTTAGCACAAGTTAAGTTAAACAGAGAGAAAAGTAACTTTATTGCGTTAAAAAAAGAAGGGGTTTAGGAGCTACATGGGTGGGGCCCCATGTCCAAGGCTCCACTGGCTAGCGCCGCCTGCTGGACGTGGTCCAGGAGTGCTAGTTTCACCTCCGGGTCCGAGCTAGCGAGGAGTTCCTCCCATTGCTCCAAAGAGTTTTCCATTCTATACATACGCTGTAAGCGATCGAGTTCATTTGGCCGTTTAGCACAACTCCACGAGATATGGTAAAGGGTCGGTGACGAGTCGCGACACCATAGGCAATCGCGCCCATACAAAGTTGCATGAATTTTGTGCAGTCGTAATAAATTTGGATAAACTCCCGTTTGAATTTCACGGAAGTCTATGGCGTCTTCCCCTTTAAAAGATTTGTGGGGGGTGCCATATGTCTGCCACGTGGATCGCTGGTGAGCAAGAAGCTCTCGTGGAGCCATCCGAGTCGGGCCGTTTTCCTCTTCCTCGCGAAAGCCGTCGTTGCTGGGTGGTGGTAACAGCGAGAAAGGCTGCTTCTCCGCTCGGTTCGTGAGCGCTCGAGCTAGAGAGTCCGCTCTCTCGTTACCCTCTAGGCCTGCATGTCCCGGGCACCAGACCATCCTATAAGTGTTGCTCAATTCGCCGCCTAAAAATTTGCAAATGTTTAATGGGAGGCGGCCTTTCGTGAATAGCCGGCACGCCTCTTGCGAATCTAAGAGTATGGTGATGTACGTCTGGCCGTCGTTGCACTCTCGACTTTTCTTCGCCAATGCGATGGCGAAACACTCGGCCTTGGTGATCGATGTAGTATACAGTGATGTTCTGGACGCTATGCTTCTCGTGTCGCTGCTTACCATTGTGATGACGCAGCGCTTTCAGTTATACCTGGAAGCGTCAACGTATAGCACGTTCTCATTGCCTCTGAATAATTTTCTGATCCATTTTACACGCTCCTCTCACCTTTCGTGATTCCGCTCCTTGGTGATGTTCCTGAGGATAGGGGCGATCGAAATATGTCGTCGGACTGGGTCTGGTACGTCTGCCAGCTCCTCGTCCAAGTTTTGGGGTTGCGGTGGTATACCCGCCCTCATCAGTATCTCTCTTCCCGACTTCGTCTGGCTGAGGTGGTTGCGCTGAGAGATCAATGTTGCTGCTTTCAGTTCAGCGTACGCGTTATGCAGGCTGATCTCGAGAAGCCTCTGTGTCAGAGTGCTTATCGGTAAGCGTAATGCTGCCTTGTAAGCCCCTCTGATGATAGGATCTACTTGTTCTTCCTCGCTCTTGTTCAGCGTGTGGAAAGGCAAGCTGTAAGTCAATTTGCTTATTACGAGCGCCTGCACTAAACGGACAGTATAACTTTATTTCATGCCTTTTTTGTGCAAGGTGATCCTCTGAATCATCCTAGCCACTTGTTTAGTTGCCGATTTAAGAAGATCGATAGTGTGATTTGCACTACCATTGCTTTGAACCCGGAAACCCAGGATCCGGGCGACAGTGACTTCTTTAATTTTCTGCTTTTCAATTTCAATTTCTATTCTTCCATTACTTTTGTAGCGTTTGCTGTGTATTCTGATCACCTCCAATTTTTCGGGTGCGCAGCTGAGACCACTGGTTCTGGCAAAGTTTTCGACAGCCAGTGCTGGCTCTTGCAGAGTCTAATCTTTGCTGGCCAGGGACCCCCGTGTAGCCCACAGAGTAATGTCGTCCGCGTAGAGGGTATAACCTAGCTGTGGTACACAATCTAAGGCAAGAGCGAGTAGACGCATGGCGATATTAAACAACAGAGGAGATATTATGGCTTCTTGAGGCGTTCCCTTGTTTGGAATTCGGAATGGCTCAGGATGCGGCGTAGGTCACGCTAGGCGCGAAGGGTGCTTCCTCTGTGCGTGCTTCAGAGGCGAAGCCTCGCCGGTTTTGGGGGCGTCGGCTATAAGGCGAGTCTATGGCCCGTATTCTACGGCGAGGTACGTGTGAATTTACTTTCTTGTTGTTATGTTGCGCGCTGGCTTTCCTGACGTTGTTTCACTGCGTATGTTCCATTGACCGCCAGTTTGCGGGGATTGTTTGTTCCGGGTTTTCGGTTTTCCTGCGTGTTCTAGTGCTGTGTTGTACCAGTCCAGAAGACTGGTTGCGTTTCTTTTGAGTCTTAAATTTAAGGCGGCCCTTGTTATCAGCGTGGCAGGCTCGTGTCCTGCGAATTTTGGTTGACTGTCCCCCTTGAGCGGAGGTAGGGTATTCAACACTCAGCAGGCCAGATAAAAAATTACATATATGGTATGCTGAATAATACGCTGATTTTATTTCTGGAAAAATGCCGTTTAAATTCGACTGTATGGCCCTGGTTTTCACTGGTGACCGTCTTCACTATAGAATAAATATAGCAGACAAGCGCCATTCGGTTTATAAACCACCCCGACACTACTAGACAGGAGAGCAGAACTTTGCTCTCCTGACCGCTTGAATGAAACGCCGCTTCCTCTCTTATTTATATTATTAAGGAGAAAAAATGCAGGCGGATACGTCCTCCCCCATTTCTATATATTGTTGCACTTTCTTACTTAGCAGTAGTGCCAGCCCCCTTTGGTTTTGTTACGGTGATGCGCGCCCGCAGCGCCTCTACCAGCCGCCACTCTCGTCTGTGGGAGCAGCTGAGATGTGCGCGCTTTGGCTGCCAGGGCGGCCGTAGAAACTCCAGCGCTGGTTCCATATACCCGCTTTTATTCACACTTGAAGGAGTGGAAACTAGAGGAGGAGGCTAGAGCATGCGCAGCGAGATGAGACGCGAGAACGCAGGAGAAGCGCAAGCAGGTGGTAGGAGAGAAGTGGAGAGAGTAACGCGCAGCTGTTGAAGGGAAGGAAGGAGGAGAGTCGCCCATGCGTAGTGTGAGTGGGGACGCCGAGGCCGAGCCGACGCTGCTGGCCATAGACCCGAGCAAGAGATGCTCCGCATCTAAAAACATTTTACGTGTTCATGTAACATAGTCAAAAGATGTCACTGGCACCCTCACTTCTGCTATCCACGTGTGCAGTTCTCTATATTATTTTGTCCATGGCACTACATCATGGACACTCTAGTATGTTAGCGTGTGAATATTCGTCGAGTTACTAGTCAATCAATAGAATTAAAATATTAAACGTTAGCTTGGAAGATGCGGTAGTACCTTGTGGCAGCGCTGACTACACCTGTGAGGAAAAGTCCCGAGAATCCCGGAAATTCGCCCAGATTTTCCTTCACGTAGAATGGCAGCATCTGGTTACAGAGAGAAATAATGATAATCGAAACAGTCACAACAACCGACATTAAAACATCTTTCAAGTGGGCGACACCAGTAAAAATACTACTCACGGTTCCAGCAGGTTTGCCTGCGAACTCTTCGAAATATTATGAAATATGCATTTGAACTGAACAAGAGATGAAACATCAATCGTCATTTTCCACGAAACAAAATGAAACCTAACTGAAGTACATGAAGTTTAAGAACGAATTAGTTCATTACCCTATATTATATACGACAAATGATAAAACGACACTGCATCAATGTAGTAGTAGGTTTTTATAAGAACAATAGAAAGTTCCTTGATTCAGAAGGACTTACTTATGATGCAAATGTCCTTCGTATTAGACATTTTTGTCTTACACAATAGTGTTGTTCGCACATGGGCCCATTGTTGGTATAACAGCTCACTTTTAATATACAGGATGCCCTAGCTCGCTCTAGCCTGAGGTTAAAAATATGCCAATGCCGCTATGAAAACGCAACCAAACACATGTTAACGGCTATTGCGTGTTGTAAGTGACACCATATTTTTATCTTTTCTAAAGGGCCCCATATCCGGTAATTTTATGAAATTGAAAATTTGGTTTTTTGCACGTTTGCAATGATAAGGCCTTGCTTAATAATATTCAGTGCCCCACACATTTTAGCTCGCTTTGATTGAGCCAGAAAGACGAGGTTTTTACTCAGGGGAAGCCAAGCCTCTTTTTTTGAGACCATGTACAACGTAAGCTTTCTGTCTGACGTAATTTTGTCAATTCAAAACTGGTAGTTCGCCCGAGCTTAGCATATTTTGAAAGAAGCATTCGGGCTACCTAAAAGCACATGGCGCAGTTTTTCTAACACGCCTGGCATTTACCAAGTGCTCTTATCTTGTGTGTGAGAGACGTGCATGAAGACGTGGTTCCGTGCATTCATTTTTAGATTGTAAATGATACTCTCGCGGTGACAAATCAAATAAACTGTCCAGAAAGCGCAGTATATATTAGAAATTGATAAGCTTAGGTTACTAACATAAACGAGATCGGTAAAACTCGTGCTAGCACTTTAGCAAAGAAGCTTTGTCCTCATTACGTGTCTTCGTAAAGACAAAATGTTACCTGTAATCACAATGGCTATGCTTTGATCGATGTGGAGCATCTCCAAGCCGTGATTACAAGTAGCAGAGTCGGTACAGATTGCAGAGGAAGGAGATACATTAGATAACACAATAGATTGTATTTTGCGGGAGGGAAACCCTCAGAACTGCCACCTCAGAAACTCTTCTTTTAGGAAGGCCTGTATGGCCCAAGTAGACGTTGTCAACGCTATTCGGCTTATTCCAGAAGCGCAACACTGTTATATGGCTGGGTCATATCTACCACCATGGACAGTATTGAATCATCAGAGACACAGAACACTTAAAAAACCAGCCTGGGAGCCAAGAAAAGAAGTAACGAAGAGAAAAGCAGATTCGTGGGATGACGATAAGGCTGCTTGCTAATAATGGGATTGCTCAGTGCATCTGTTTTTTGAAGAAAACGTGAAATACGCATGTTTTTCCTCTTTAGGATTTAATATTATAAAAAGCAAGTTGAATGAATAGGAAACGGACATTTCACCGGAATAAACCAAACATCAGTACGAAGCTACTGAGCTAGAATGGTGCACATGTGAAAAATAGTTTTATTATTTTTGCTGCTTTTTTATTATAACACTCAATAAAATGACTTGCTTTGCTAACCATTTGTGAAAATTTTCATACTAGAAATAGTTATATTTGTAGTTCGTTTACAAGAAAAGACGCGGATGATTGAAATGAAACCAACCCGAACGCGTTACGTACTGTAGTTCTAGAGAGTATGGGTCTTAAAGGAATGTCAAAGTACATGGAAAGTATAGGGCCTGCCCAGTGCCCCTAAATGCCCAACAAAGCATTTTACCTCACTAAATTCCTAAACCATGGGTCTGGGCGAACATTTTCACCCAGTTTCAGATTGGTTTGCTGAGTGTCCGATTAGAAACGTTCTAACTTTGCATCGAATAAGTATTAGTGTTTTTCTGCTTACAACACATGTCCGCGAAATGCACAAGATACGACGTGAGATGCACGATTGCGCGCCTACGTGTGCACTAACTGAAGTGCTTCATAACGTTCCCCGTGCGAACCACAACGTTCCACGTGCGAATCACATCTAACATAGTGTGCTATACCTCAACTAGACAGCAAGGATAGTGGTGGCTGTGCGATGACGCACGCTTTGCTAGTGGCGACCCATGCGGTAACCACTGCAACCTATTATCGCTAGTATTGAACCGGCGTGAAAGAAATGTATGGCTTGTTACCGGAAGGATAAGAAAGATTAGAATCCCCGCGTCCACAAGTGGGCCAATGGCAATATTAGAGTGACTTGTTTAGATGCGAGGCGCCTTAGGGCCGCATGTCTGACCGTCGTCATAAAAGCCCTCCTCGCCGTGGCCCCTAGTCGAAGTGCAGGTAAAAAACATATTGCTAAACAGATGAAAAGCTGCAACGCTGAAAAAACACTGACATTTAACTACACATCCAGCAGTGCATATGGCAAAGCAAAAGGCAACAAAATAAAATAAAAGGCTCTTAACCAGAACCAAAAAGGAGGCCACAAAACTATAAAAACGACAAAACAGTAACACTTACGAGACGTGAAGAAAGCACAACTGCTGTAGTCAACAAAAACGTTATGGAAACACTGTTAACTAGAACGAACTAAAGGCCACAACGCTGTAAAAACAGTGACATTAAAGCCATCAAACAAAGCGTGTGATAGATCCAAATTATAACAAGAGCAAAATAAACAGCTCATAACCAGAACAAAATAGAAGGCAACAATTCTTGTTACAATGTACACTGCTTCGCCCCATTATCAGCAATCACTTCGTGGACTCGCAGCATTTTTTTGGTGTATTTTCCGCAAAAAATACACTGATGTTTAATAGATATTAATTTCTAGTTTCGCCCATGATTGTATTCGGCTCGTGCTCATTGTTAGTGGACTCGTAGTGAGGGTTTGGCGAGTATGTGCGTTACATTCGTTTATTTTTGTCCACGCACTACAAAAACACAAGAACCCCTAGCAATATACCGTATTTCTGTCAACCGCGCGGTGGTTATTGCCAGAAAGGCGGAAGGAAGAGTGATTCATCGCCAGAATTTTTTAGCAGATGTTTGTGTGTATTGTGTCAGCTGGCATGATCTCTGATAGAAGTTCTGCCTATTAACCAGCAAGATCGTAGTTCACTAAATAGTAGGGCATTAAAAATATTTATATATATGTGCTTGATGTCTATATGTGACATATTGCTGTATATTTGTGCCCCGCCACGGTGGTCTAGTGGCTAAACACTCGGCTGCTGACCCGCAGGTCGCGGGATCGAATCCCGGCTGCGGCCGCTGCATTTCCGATGGAGGCGGAAATGCTGTAGGCCCGTGTGCTCAGATTTGGGTGGTCGTTAAAGAACCCCAGTTGGTCGAAATTTCCGGAGCCCTCCACTACGGCGTCTCTCATAATCATATGGTGGTTTTGGGACGCTAAGTATACTATTGTACCTTTTGAGAACTCATGTGCAAAACTCCCTCTTCATGGGCTGACTGCACAGGGTTATGCATCTCGTGTCACGTTACCAATACATTTAGAAACAACTTTTTCTATCGATTTCATGAATTTTGCTTTTTTTGTACTCTAACTTCTTAATTAGGTGACGAGGAGAAGCCGGCAAACACACCAGCATCTTGTTTTCTACTACGTCAAAAGAAATGTCAACATTCAGTTTAAATGGAACCTGAAGGACGAAGAACAAGCGATATCTAAAGTGTTAACGTGCCACAATTATTTCATCTATAATTGAAGCTTGAAAACAGTATAAGTTGTCATTGTTTGACCATATATATTCACCTGGTCAAGCTTGGTTATGGCACCAGAGAGAAGTGGGTCGCAATCTCTGTACCAGTAGACAAGGGCTACAGCCATGCCGGCCATGATGAAGTTGTACAAGGCGTTCAACGTGACGCCTATGTAGGTGATGCTGTATCAGTGAAAGACAAAAAAGAAAGGCATACAACCAAGTTGTTAGAAGAGCACCTCGAGCATATCGCATATTGCATAAGATATCGAGAACTCGCCCAAGGTACATGGCAGTTCTGATGGGCTTAACGTAAAATTCAATGTATCAAGATTAGACACTTAGTTTTACTGAAAAGAAACAATTACAACAAGTGATTTACCAAAAATTTTGGTCAAAATTTAGAAGTTTATCGTTGCATTTAGCTTTATCTACAGAAAAATAATAATACAATGCCAAAGCACATATTGTAACCCTGAGATCCTCCTCCCCCCATCTCTATAGGTTCTGAGACATGCAGAAAATAGCGCCCTTTTTATCTCCTCCCTTTTCGTTAACGAATCTCTCTCAGTCAAACAGGAAAGTGACTAAGACACGAACCTACTCCTCCATGCTTCGCACCACTACGCGTTAGACGCTAAGCTACCGCAGCGAGTACCATTGCATAGTAGAACACTTATTTATTTACATTGCTACACCTGTGCATTGCATTATTTATTTATTTACATTGCATTTATTTACATTTTCTTTACATTGCATTATTTATTTACATTGCTATACCTGTGCAAAAAACGCACTAACCAACTATGCCCAACATTAAGTCAGTGCTTGTCCAAAGGAACCAATGGGCGACACATTACCAATTGCTGAAAATTAAATGAGTATTATAAATACATTAGGCTCAAACGAACTGCAGTTTTTGCCACAATTTATAGCTCATATTTTACCCTGAAGGTAATTTGAATAAATAGCTTAAAGTTCTTACTTTGCATAACTATAGTTTCTTTTTCTAGATTTTATCTTGGTAGTTTTTTTATGCTCACTTGAAAGTGACCGCAAAAATAGTTGAGCAAATCTTGTTTTACTGCCATGAAATGATTTGCATTAAATTACGTGTTATTTAAATTTACGCTGTAAAGCACAAGTTCAAAAAAAGAAACAAATTTTGTGGCAGCTCTCTTACCACAAAATTTCTGTAAAGCTTTGCTTTGTGTTGAAGTGGGAGGTATTTGTCTTTTAATAGTCTTCTTTTGTTTTACATTGCTGAAGTTTTTCGCGTGGACAAAATTCTAAGTTTCCAATGAATAAAAGGTACACTTTTCATTCATCATCATTATGATGTATCACTCCCATTTTTTTTTACTGTAGAAAAGTTCGTGGTAAACACCCCAGCTGGCTTGGTACTTCAGCGCACGAGCTCACATCACACACTCACAGTGAAACGGCCGCTAGAAAATTGAACTTGGGCCTGAGGACAGTAAAGGTCATTTTTCATACTCTGCCTCTGTCTTATTTTTGAGGGCTTCAGCCGGACGCTTGGCTCTGAGCTTACATTTGACGCCTGTAACCTATAGGGATGACTGGTAGTGGGGATGACTGGTAACGTGGATGACTGGTGGGGACACCAAGGTTTTCTTGTGGCAGGCCTGGCATTTTGTTCGCTAGTCTTCCTTCTTTTTATCGTTAGCGCTTGTGGTGCGTTTGAAGGTCTTGTTTGCAGCCTCGTCTAGCGTGATTACGCTTGTTTTTCATGGACACTACCTAGACTCGCCAAGCAGCCTCGAGGACTGAAGCGCGAAACAGACGGTGCGATTTTCGGTGCGATGCGGCGTGCGGTGCGACGATGCGGCAGCCGGAGTGGTGACGTTTTGTGACGTTTCATGACGTATTATCGCACGGCACCACCGCGTAGCCGGTGCGGCGAGCATCAAACCGGCCAGATACTAGGTTCGTTCTATTTACCTGCACTGCCTGAACTGGTTCACGTAGTGCAAGGTAAATCGAACGGACCTATTTTTGTCGCCTCATCGCACCGCTGCATGGCCACAGCCAATCATAGCGCGAGTAGACGAGTGGCATCACGCCGCCGGTGGCGCCATCTCTCCGTCATCACTCCCATCATCCGTGGTCCAGGCCAGTTCAGGCGAATTGATGGAGTGGCGCGAGCTAGGATTTGTTGACATCGTTGCTGCGGTGGTGTTACAAACGTCGAGTACATTTCCCCTGTGCCATAAAATTATTCCGGATTGAATAAAGTGATGTTTCAAGTGTACCATTCCTGAAAGACAACGCCCGTTTTGAAACTGATAGCGAAATCGGAGAATGCGACCAGCGATGCAAGGTCATTTCGCAGGTATACCGGCGTCTCTGTGAGCCGGCTCGCTTCGCTTCCACCTTTGCTCTTCACGTCGATGACATCTAGAAAGTAATAGCGTTCGCTAACGCATTACATACGAGTGCAAAGCTTAAGGTTGTGAAAAACAAGCACTCGATGATGAGCTCGCCTGTGAACGGCGTAGGCGAAGGCCGGCACCCGCCATGCTAGGCCTACCTGTCGGAGTCGTGAATAATCAGCTGTTACCGCTGTTGCGACGTGCTTGTCGTTCACGAATGCGATTTAGTAATTATTTTTGTGGAACGACGCGTGGCTGTGCAATGTTGTTTGTTTTGAGCTTCATTACGAGTTTAAAAAGTCGTCCGACTGCACATGCCAAGGCGCTGCATGGGGGTGGATCCAGCCGCTGATAGCTCCTTCGCCCCCTGTGTCTCGAAACGTCGCATGTGGCACGCCGCACCATGCGATACCACACGCCGCATTGCACGGAAAATCGCACGTCTGTATCGCGCTTGATGCGAACGTGCCTGCAGTCGAGGATGAGGCAGGGGCAGATGATGCAGCAGAAACCGGTGCTCAGCAGCCGCTGTCACATGGCCAGACTACTTAACTTAATTGTCATCGTCTCGTGATATACCAGTGGTTCCTCTCGGTAGCGAGGTTTTTACGACTTGGTTCGTGGACCTTGCCTTCGGGCGTACGCAGCCCCCGCCCAGTCAACGTTGGACGTTGCAACGTTTATTGGGCAAGCCGCGGAAACATCGGTCATTGATTTTCTTGATGACCTTTCCGTTTACAGGTCTGTTCAAGGCATCTCGGAGCTGCATTTGTTCTAGCGGGTTCTGCTCATTGCCCTGGCAGGTACAGTGGAACAATGATGACGTATCCAGCCCCCGTTCGAATCTTAGGGCCAGTTTGTCACAGCCTTCCGGGCAGAGGTCCTGCGGTAGACTACGAATACTGCATTCAGGGTGAGCTGGACACCCGAACGCAAGATGTTAGGGTCATTCCGTCGGGCTGACCCCACTGCTCCTGAGACCGTTGAGGTATCGCACGTTCTGTGGTGCTACCATTCCCTTTTTAGGCCATACCTTTTTGGCTGTTCGTTTTCCTCCCTTGATGAGCTTGCAGGCTTCGCCTGGCCTATTGCGGAAATGCTCTTTTGGGAGCAGCATTATGCGTCCCCTCCTCCGGCCGACGCTGCTCTCGAGCCAGCCTGTGCCTGGAGAGAGCCAAACACGGGGACAATCCTGTCGCACTGCCCCGAGCCATGACCTTTCGGGGTGAGCCCGGACATAGACCTCAATTCTCGAGGCCCCCCTAGCAGAAACTCTCCGCAGTGACAGGCTCCCGACTTACGATTCCCTGCCACCAAACCCGTCCTCTCCCTCAGGCCAGGAACGAAATTCTTCGAACGCCAGAGGTCCCTCTAGTGCCGCTTATAGGCCGCTCGCATCGAGATGGTTTCGGGAAGACATGAGCAGGCTGACTCTTAATTTTTGCTTCAAATGTAGTCAGCCTTGACACTACCGGAATAAGTGGCCCATGCCACCTTCCACCGGGCGTGTTTCCAACCAGAGAAACAGCCACAGCCCGCGATGATAATAAGCTCCCCCACATCATTCAGGGCCACACCTACCGAGAGTGAGCAAACTGATTTTGTATCCGTTTGCCGCATCAAACGTGCTGGCTCTTGTCAAGTTCAGGGTACACGCTTTGCGTGAGGAAATACCTGCGCTCTTGGACACTGGTTGCAGCGTATCTTTCGATAGCGATCGCATTTTTTGTCTGTGCCAGATACGCAAAGTAAAGCTTGCCCAATGCAACACGCACTTGGGAACTGCTAAATAAGCATTAATAACAGCGCGGGATAGATTGCGTCTCCAGCTCTATTTCGCGATAATGACCTGCAGACAGCGCTTTGTTTACTGCCCTGGATATGCAGTCACCATGTTACCGGGTCGGGACTTCATCACGCGTGAAAATGTCATTTTGGGCTCAGCAAAGGGCGGCTTCCAATTCACCTGCATAGGTGAATTGCATCATTTCGTCCCAGCGTAATTTTCCTTCACCACATGCATACATCGATCGCGTTCTGCGGCAAAACTTCTTTACCGTCTAAGATACTGCAAGCTGTCGGAAAAAAGTCCATTTCAGGATATCCAGAAACGACAGCTCGTGCGCTCTGTGGAGCCGTTCACAGCCGTGTCCGCGGAGCAACCTGGCCGCGCTCCTGTCTTGCGTCATCGCATCGACACAGGTGACACGCGCCCTTTGACCCGTCACCCTATGCCGCTGAGCGTCCCCAAGTGGACATTACTGGACGTCGTCCTACAGGAGAGGATGAACACCGGTGTGGCGAGACTGTCGCAGAGCCCTTGGGCATCTCCTATTGTTCTAGTGCCGAAAAAAGATGGCACCACGCTCCTCTGCGTAGACTATCACCACTTAAACGAATGCACTGTTCGGGTTGCCTATCCTTTCCCCTCAATTGAGCTAATATAGTCAAGACTTGGCAGTGCATGAGTGTTTACAACACTCGACTGCTCGTGCGAATTCCTCCAAATCAAAATGAAATCCAAACACATCGCTAAGACCACATTTACTTGCTATAAATGGTTCTTCAAGTCGTTCCGCATGCCATTTGGCATAACCGATTCTAGTAGTTCCTTTCATCATTTCATGCATACTGTTCTCGACGACATGCTGTACAAGTTCGCAATGGCATATATGGAGGACGTTGTCATCTTTTCCCGAAATTTTGTTAGAACATTTCGTTTTATTTCGTTAGAAAAAAAAACAAAATTTCGTTAGAATTTCGTTTTCCCGTTCATTTCGTTAGTTAGAA